TTTTTGTATTTAGAATTTGACAAGCTGACTCTAAAATTCACATGGAAAGGCCAAGAACCTAGAATAGCAAAAACAACTTTGAAAAATAAGAATAAAATTGGAAGGCTATTACTGCCTGATTTCAAGACAACTTTTAAACTACAGTTATTGCAATAATCCAGGATAATTTCCTCATCTCAAAATCACATCTTTTACCATATAAGATAATATTCTTCCTTTTGCCATATGCAATATTAGGTAATATTTACAGGTTCTAGGAATTAGGACATAGATATCTTTGGGGGCCATTATTCAGCCTACCACAGATCCCATGTGGATGCCCAGTTGTTTTAGCTCCATATGAGTATATAGCCCATCTTTCCTTATTGATATTCAACACCTGCTCTGTCATTAATCAAATTTACATAGATGTGTGCATTTATTCTGAATTCTCTGTCCTGTTTCCTTAGTAATTTTTGCACTTTCTACTCCGATACCACATTATCTTAATTACAATAGCTTAATAATAGATTTTAATATATGAAAGGCCAAGTCCCCTCAATTACTTCCTCTTTGTTATCATTGTCTTGGTTATCATTGGCCCTTTGATTTTACATTTAAATGTTATAATCAGCCCATCAAATTTTACCAAATTCTACTTGCTGGCATGTTGTTTAGTAAAGTATTAAAATTATAGATGTAGATCAATTGGAAGAAAATAGATAACTTTATGATATTGAGTCTTCCTTTACAAGAACATAGTCTAGTTCTCTATTTATTTAGATATTTGTTAATATCTTTCAGTAAAGTTTTACAATTTCTTCCTTGAAGGTCTTAAGTATATTTTGTTAGATTTATTTCTAGGTACTTTATATTTTTGTTGCAGTTGTAAATAGTATCTGAAAAATTAATTTTTCTGATTGTTGCTGCGTCTAGAAATGCAGTTGATGTTTGTATATTGATTTGGTAACTGTAAATCTTACTTGATCTTATTAATTTTAAAAGATTATTTCTTGATTCTTTAGGATTTTCAGGCAGACAGTCCTAACATATGTGAGTAGTGGCAGTTTGTTCTTCCTGCTTGTACTTTCCTGTGTTCTTGTCTTACTGCACAGGAATGGAGCTCAAGTATAACCTTGGACACCTAAGATATCTTAGATGGCAAGTTTTGAGAGCCTATGGGTACATTTTCTGGTATTTAATGCAATGTAATCTATTGCATTCAGGGGCTGTTAAAAGGGTTCTGTGGTGCATTTCTCTGCTTCTTATGTGTGAAAACAGGAGGCTATAATCATAGAAGAGAAACTGTCCTATTTAAAAAAAAACATTTTAATATTATGCTCTTCTAATAAAGAATCTGGCCTTAGGGTTTACAAGTTTCTTCAGACTTGTCCCTCTTGCTGCTGTTTGCCAGGACAAGAAAAATCCCTGCTTTAAAAATCTTGTGGAAAAGTAGCATTTGTAATGTAACACTAAAATTTAGACTAACTCTTATAAATGCAAAGTTAGGTGTTACTTGTATTCCTGTTCTATCCTGGATGAGGGAAAAAGTGCTAGCTACAAATAAGGCAAATTCCTTTGAAGTAATTAATAACTCCCAAAGAAACATTTGGCTCACTGCTTTGTTACAACACATCTCCTTTTTTTTATTATTATTTATTAAGGAAGGCAGTCAAGGTAACAGATGGGGAAAGCTTTAAGTCTGACAATTATAAATAGTCTTGCAGTTTATTCTACAATATATTTGCAATTCCCTTTCTTTGCCATTCTGAAAAGCTGGATCTCTGTCAAAATACTTTTCTCTTGACCAAGGAGTACAAGTCATTGCCAATAGATTCAAACACTAAAATAATGGAGCAGGGTGGTAAGCTCTGGGCTCTCTGAAAGCTTTACTTATGTTCTAGAGTGTTGTCAACACGAATACATGGTCTTTAGAGAAACCCCTTTTCCAGGGATCAGATGGATTGGGCAAGGGAGCACCCTTTGAATACATCTGTTATTCCAAATATTACTAGGGTTGCTTTTGTTTCTTATAATCAAATTAATACTTGCCTAATGACCACTGTGTTGCCAAGCACTACGGGGGACACAGAAAAGCATTCCTGTCTTTAAAAGGACAGTCATGGAGAGAAAGCATTAAATATACAGAAGCTAAATAGCAACAGAAGGCAGTGGAACATAAAATGTCACAAGGCATTATAATGATGATGATAAATTAGAAATATCACTTGGGTATTCAAAGTGTATTTGCTTTAATACTGAAAATTACATCTAACAGAGAATCCAAAGTATTTTGAATGCTCAAAATGTTACACACAGAATAAATATATAACTTTTTCTTAAATAACTGAATTTAAGGAAAACCTGTCAAAATATCAAAGATTTTTGAAAGCAGTGGTATCCCCCCACTGTCAGGGAGGACATGGAGAGACAGGAACCATTTAAATACTGTTGTTGTTTGTGTGTGAATGTAGAACCTTTCTGGAGGGCAATATGCCCATAGTTGTCAGAATGCCAAATGTGCATCTCTTTGTTCTGGCAATTCTATTTCCAGTAATGGTGGGTTTGATAATTTGAATCAACTCTCCCTCTAAAAACAGATAGAAGAGCAAGGCGCAGTATTTTTAAAAACTTTTTTGAAGGTAAAACAGAGCTACTAGGACAGTGAAGAATTATGGAGCCAAGATCCAGGAGACGGAAAAAAAACAAGACAATTAGACTTTGGGGGGAACGTCTTTAGTCTTAGTGACACTGACTTTTTAAATAGTTATGGCAGAGAAGCTGAAAAGTTAAGTAGAGTTAGTGAAGAAACCATAGGAGCTAATGGGAAACCTAAAGAGAAAGGGCCCTGGTAATCCCACAGGCTTGAGGGTGGGACCCAGTGAAGTGGCAACTGGGAATGGATCAACCCTCACAAGGACTGATGCTCAGCTTTGAATCAGTTTTCAAGTATCTACTTGATTAAGACCATTCTCCAGTGGGGTTCAAAGAGATAAGTAATGCCTAATGTTCTAAGGCATCTATTGTATATGAAGAATTAACTTCTCTTTTTATATCTAGGATGGTAGTAGCTACATAATCCTTCTAGGGAGAATTGAGAAAATAGTCACTCAAATGATTTGCTGTAGGGCTTAACTCTCTCATAGAATCTAAACTGTAAATGGTTTGATTAGGTCATCCGGGATTGCTAAGGACCTCTAGTCACGAGCCACAAGCTGGAGGAAAATAACATCTTAGGGCTTCAAATTATCCATAGTTTTTTATATACACAGATAAGACTCAATTGAAATAACCAAGCATATGAGGAGGTAACACAATCTGATAGAACATCAAGATAAACAATTGAAACAAACCCATAGGGGGCCAGATAATAGAATTATCAGGCACAGATTTTTTAAATGTTCTTATTAAAGACAAAGTTGAACAGAGTCCTGGAAACTACAAAAAAATCTATTGGAAAGTCTAAAACTGAAAAGTTATAATGACAAATTAAGAACTCAGTAGATGAATTTAATAGCCTATTAGATACAGCTAGAGATAAACTTTGTAAACTGGAAATTAAATAAATCAAAAGGAAATATCCACACTAAAGCATAGAGAGACAAAATACAAATTAGAGCATAAAAGTCAAGCGGAATGTGGCAAAAAGGTCACACATGCATTATATACTATTATATATTAATAATATAGAACATATATTATCTATGTATATATTATAAATATATTTCTCATATTATCTATGTATAGAAGGAAAGAAGTAAGAACATGGAGCATAAGCAATATTTGAAGAGATAATTACTAAAAAATTTCCAAAAACTGATGAAAGGCATCCATCCACAGACTCAAGTAGTGCCACAAACCCCAAGAAGGATAAATGCAAACCACACCTGGGAACGTTATAGTAAAACTGCTGAAAAACCAAAGACAAGAAGAAAATCTTAAAGCCAGAAGAAAAGACATATTACCTCAAATGAGCAGTATGACTATAAGCTGAGTTCTCAACAGAAATGGTGGGAGACGAGAAACAATAGAATGATATCTTCAAAGTGCTTAAAGAGAATATAGGAAAATTGTTCATAAATATGTTCAAGGATATTAATTACAGTATAATTTGTTATAGTGAAAAGTTGGAAACCACTTAAATATCCAACAAGGGGAACTGGTTAAAGATATTTACCTCTTCTTTAGGTGAGGATATGTAAAAATGTTCCCAATTTATTATTAAGTAAAAAAAGCAGGTTATAAAGTAATATAGCATATGGTCTCATTTTACATTAACAGTATTTAAATATGGTTAAGTATGGAAGGATCATCACCAAAATGCAATAGTTATCTTTGGGTGGAGGAATTATGAGAGAATTTCCACTTGCTCTATAATATTTGTATAATGATCATGTATTATCAAATGGAGATATACCCATTTTTAAAAAGGAAACAAAGCCAGTCAGTACTTTAAAGGTTTGTGCTCTGTGTTGACCCTGCGTCCACTGTGGATGTGTAATAAGGGATACTGGTTAGTGGATTCAATTACTTGTACGTGAAAGGAACTGCAAAGTAAGGATCAGGTAAGACTCACAGGCTCAGATCCCTTAAAACCCTGGCTTTTCCTAAATCTAGGGAAGATCGACATGAACAACGTCCCTTGGAGTCCCATGGTGACTCATGTTATAAGGAACATCAATCAGTGGTCAGTTTCCTCTGAGTTAGAGAAATTACTTTCCTTTATAAGAAACCTAAGGATACAGATAAGATTGGGTTAAATTTTCTTGTTAATTGTTTTTCTTCTGCTAAAATGTCAGTCTAAATTGCAACATACTCGTAAGCTATTTTCTAACTAAGAAACAAACAGTATTCCTGTTTCTTAATAATAAGCTATATCTTCAGCATTGACTAAATTGCAGTTCCCTCAGTCCCAGGTAAGGAGTTGGTACAATAATCTTGAGTGCATTGGTAACAGTTTTGTGGATAATTTGGGATAATAAAGCATCATTTGGGTAATAAAATTTGAATTGTTTTTACAGGCCGAGAAATCCGCCTGCCCCTCCGAATCAGAGGGGAAGGAATGGGACCAAAGATTCACTTCAACTTTGAATTGCTGGATATTGGAAAAGTTTTTGTGGGAACTGTACATTGTTATGAGGTAAGCACTAGAGTTGTTCACCGAGACTCAAATGGTACGTGGCTTTTTTGGTTTTCTTTTGTGTGGGTTTTTATTGATAGAAAATTTGTGCAGTCGCATCCATTGCCATTATTCATACTTATTCAGGCCCCAGAGTGAGCTAACTCTTTCTCCTCTCTCCTGGTCTTTTGAGTGGAGCAACTTTTCCCATCCTTTTGAGCCTCCTCTAACTTTACAAAAAGCACCAAAGCCATAATTTAATTGGTTTTATCCTCATCTTTTTGTAGGTTGTAAAGGGGAGCTCCATAAATACATCTCCCCATCTGTTTAATACTTGTTCTATGACAACTTAAACCCTATATCAGAGGACAGAGAGTGTTTTACATTTTCTGGAATGTCCTAATGGGGATAGCGGTTTTCACACCTAAGAAATTTCTCTAAATGTACTTAGTCTGCAACCAGTGATTTAAAAACCAATCATTGTGCTTTCTGGAAGAGCCCTCCCTGCTTTGTCTTTCCAATTAAAGAGAAAATGATCCTTTTACAAGATGTACTCATGGGTTCATAAGGGCCCCAGTTACCTCAGTACCACCTCATCACTAAATTGGTATCTAGGACACTGTTTTACATTATTAAACTATCACCATTGAAACTTTATTTTAGAAAGATTCCTAAATTGTAAATGTTTATATTTCTATAAAGGTAATAGTAAAAGCAGTTATTTAATGAGGGACAAATAGGTGTCAGGTTCCATGCTTTGTTATGTGTGCTTGTCTATGAGTATGTTATAGCTTCTAATCCTTACAAAGCCATGAAAGGCGGGTTTTATTGTACCTACTTTAGAGAGAAGAAATACGAGGCAGATAGTGGTTAGTTCAGTCCACAACATCACTCTTCATGCATGTTAAGCATGCATACATTGATTCATTTAGTCCTCACAAACCCCCTTTGGAGTAGGTAGGTACAATGACTATACCCATTTTATAGCTGAGGAAGCTGAGGCTTAGAGAAGTTTTACTAGTTGAGGTAATTAATGCTAGATTCGGTAACAAACAAATAAAAACATATATTCTCTCAGTCATGATAAGAGTCTGTTTTGTTGCTTATATAAAGTCCTAAACAAGATTGCTCATCAGCAGATGGCTCTCCTCCAGCAAGGAACGGGGAATCTAGGCTCCTTCAATCTCATGGCTCTGCCACCCCTAGCACGTGACCTGCAAGATTGCAGTATAATATGTATCACACTGGCAGAAGGAGAAAGAGCATGGAGGGTTGCACATGAGAGATTTTTATACGAGGTAGCACTAGAAGTGGCTCGTATGATTTTTGTTGGCATCCCATTAGCTGTCCATAACTGCAAGGGTGGCTGGGAAATGTAGTTTAGCTGTAAGCGCAGGAAGAAAAGAATGTGGGCTCAGGTGAACAGCAAACCTGACTCGGCCACATATGTTAAGTGATGTGGCAAGGTCGCACAGCTTGTAAATGGTAGTGAGCGCTGGGTTAGTAGGGCTCTGTGTCCTGTGGAAAGAGAAGGCCCTTTGCTGGCTTTTCAATACCTCAGGCTGTCACCATGGGCACATCTAGCCTACCGCCAACTCACCTCTCAGCCCAGCTTAACCTGGCATGTACGGTAAATGCCTGACGGCTGTTGAGAGCTTTCTACAATGTCATTGTCCCCATAGTCATTACTGTGGCCTAAATGGGATGATGTGAAAGGTAAACAGGGATGTTAATGTCATGAGGAGATGGAATAGACGTAAGAGCACATTGAAATGAAGAAATCAGTCACATGACTGTCATAAAAAGAAAAATGGCACAACTATTCTGTTGCAATGTCCTGTATTGCATTTTGGAAGACAAGGAAGGAAGGAGGGAGGGAGGGAGGGAGGGAGGAAGGAAGGAAGGAAGGAAGGAGTCACTTAAGGAGGAAAATAAAAAGGCACAATAGTTCTTGAAAATAAAAAGGCACAATAGTTTTTGAAAATAAAAAGGCACAATAGTTCTTACTAAATTGATATTCTGTCTAATTTATCCAGTGTGAATTTCCCTTACATCTCACAGACTGTGTCTGAAGGATGCCACGTCACAAAAGGGCCTTTAGTTCTGAGGCAAAATGGGTATGGTTTCCCTGAGTGTAATAATTTCTTACAGATTTAATAGGAGTGTACTTTAGGTCGCCACCCCTCACCCTCCCAGATTTGAACAGGAAAGCAAAGCACGGCCAGCTAAGTAAGTGTTAAATGAGGTGCTGCATCAGACTGGGATGGTTTTGAGAGCTGCGCTGTGGCAGAGAAGGACATGGTAAGGTGCTTGTTATGGGGCTATTTTGCACTCTCTGCATATTTAATGCTGATGCCTCATTGCATCTCTCTTTCAGTTTATTACGTTACCTCCTTGAGACAAATTTGAATAACTACCTATTGCCCTTAGTCATTGCTGAGCTTAGCAGACCCATGAAGAATAAACCAGAACCCCAAGAGTATACACTCTCCCCCAGTGTAATTAGAAGGAAGACAAATGACAGGGTCAAGTTTCTCCTCTCCGAGGAGTTGGACTGCAAGGGTAAGGGTATCACCGGTAATCCAAAGGTCTCAGAATTGTGCCCCAAACAATTTAGTGGATTCTGTATAAATAAGGCTGCTTTGCCAGGGGAGAATGACATGCACACAGAGGGGCTGGCACCTTATAGAAAATCTGGGTAGAAAACATTGGTGTTAACCAAAAAATAAAAAGACAATCCATGCATCTTCTCAGAGAAGAACAAGCATCCTTCAAGTCACCGCTAACACCTTTGAGTTGCCTTTGAGTTACCACTAATGCATGTCAGTTGCTTCTTAAGCACAGGTAAATTTTAAACCCAATCGCTTAGCATCGGGGCTATAAATAGCAATCACTGTCATTGAAGCACTCTTGGCCAGGCATTATTCTAAAAGTTACATGAGTTAATATCATCTTTACAACAATCTGACAGGTCAGTAGTACTTGCATTTTACAGATGGGGAAATGGGGGCACAGAAAAGCTAAGCAGGTTTTCCAAGGTCACACAGCTAGTAAGTCGGGGGCAAAGCTGGGATTTGAATATTTGAATTCATACGTTTGGCTTCTGAGTCCCTAGTCGTAATCACTTTTCTACATGGTTGCTTTCAAAGAAGTGAAGGGTAAGCATGATTCCTATGATCAGGGAACTTAAAACAGAGAGAGGGAGATGGGAAATAAATGTAAAAAGATGAATAAAATATCAAGTAGCAATTAGTTATGTATCTATTTTGGTGCATTGTCCATCTTCTCTTGGCAGAAGTGGTTGTCTTTCTCTGCAAGAGCCCCTGATTCTGTCCTACATATGCTCTTGACTCCGATATGCTCTGCTTCTCTGGAGGCAACCTGAGCTGGTGGGTCCCCCTGTATCCACCCCACCCCAGTCCCCTGGTTACCTAGCATGCTTCTTTTTTTTTTTTTAAAGATTTTATTGGGGAACTGGGGGAAGGGAACAGTGTTGGGGAATTGGGGAAGGGGACCGGCCAAGTTGTTGTTCTTCAGTCTTCGTTGTGAAGGGCGCCAGTCGCCATCTGGCAGCCCATCGGCAGCTCGTGGCCTCTAAGCTCAAGGTGCTGTGTTCAGTCTTAGTTGTGGGTGGGCATAGCCACCATCCCATGTGGGAGTTTTACCCAGCAGCCTTGTTGTTAAGAGTGCACGCTCTATCCACTGAGCCATCTTGGCAGCAGCTCAGCTCAAGGTGCCAAGTTCAGTCTTAGTTGTGGGTGGACATAGCCCACCATCGAACAGGCAATCTTGTTGTTACACCAGCTGAGCCATCCTGCCATCTGTTGGCAGCTCAGCGACAGCTCAGCTTGGGTGCAATGTCACTGGCCCATGTGGGAATTGAACCGGCGGCCCTGTTGCTCAGAACTCGCGATCTTAAGCCAACTCTTAACCAACTGAGCCACTCAGCTGGCCCCCTGGCCTGCTTCTATTTATTACAACAACAAACATCCAGGCCAGGCACTGAGTATGCGCTATCTCATTTACTATAAATATACTAGGTCTCCTCCTATACCTTTCCACAGCTCTGCCACCCCCATTCTTACTTTTCACCACGAATCTTGCAAAACAGAATCTACAATAGTCAACCCCTATTTCCTCTGTACCCACTCATTTGTACTCTGGATTCTACAATCACATCCCATTGGAATTACATTCTTTTTCAAGGGCGGGGATAACCTCTCATTAAAAATGAAAAACCTTAATATTTTCTCATTCGACCACATTCGACCCTTTCTGGAAATTCTCCTCCCTTGGCGTCTAGGTTCCTAACATGCCCCACATCCCTTTCTGAATGTTTCTTCACGATCTCCTGGGCTCTTTCCCCTCCAATACCTTGAGTGTAGGTTGAGGGCGGTTCCTACATAAATAGAGAGAATGAGTTGTTCACCTGTCCAGGTGTAAGCATTGTCAAGGAAGAGAGATTGTGTCTGGAAGTTCAGGAATAGAGCTGTGTGGCCATAGTACAGACTCACAGAGAGGAACTGTGGGAGGCGGCAATGAAAGCGATAGACTGAGCCAGCTGGAGAGGACTTTGAATGCCAGGCATGAGCTTTTTACACATACATACCCAGTGTGCAATCAAGCGTGGGCAGTGACATGGCTGCAGAACACTAGCATATAGGAATAAAACTTTTCTATAGTAAAACAATTGCCTGCATAGCACCCCCAAACAGTTATCCAGCCAATAAGAGTTTGAGTTGAAAATATTCCAATAGGATGAAATCTAATACCACAACAAAGAACCTGGAATCCACAATGATGTCACACTTACGTTCTTCAAGCTACAATATGAACAGAGGCTTAGGTAGTTCTTGCTCCTCTATTCTGACTCGCTTTCCATTTTTCAGTATGCCACTTTATCTCAGCCTTCTCATGCACACGCGAGAAATACCTACCTTTCTTTGGTTACTTTGTAGAGAGTATCAAAAAACCATATTTTAAGGCTCTTCTTCAGTAGATGTGATTGTGATCATCAGTCTTTATAGCATGAGTATAACATACATGACTAACTCCATCTTAAAGAGGAGACAGAAATACAAAATTATTTTCTGGTTTGGGACTCCTGTCTTCCAAATTTCAAGAGAGAAGAGTGTTCATTTCTGCCCTGGAGTTTTTCTTTGGGTCTAATTCCCGCCATTGTGTCTGTGTGAGTATGAAACAATACAACCACATGCTTATATGAAAATAAATCAGAGGCCCACTGCCTACCTTTTTATTGATATAGGCCATACTCTTCAACAAAGGTAGCATCGATGCCCTCTTCAACATGATCCCTCCAACTTCGGCTTTGGGGACCTGCTTTATTTTCAGTCCCAAGGAAGGTATCATCGAACCAAGCGGAGTCCAGGCTGTCCAGATTTCCTTCAGTTCCTCCATCCTGGGACACTTCGAAGAAGAGTTCCTGGTCAATGTCAATGGGTCACCTGAGCCTGTGAAACTGACCATTAGGTAAGATACATCTATAACTAATGTGGAAACTAACTGCTTTCTCTTAAACTTTGTAACTAGATTATGTCTTGGATATTCATAACTATCTTTGTTGATATGACCACGTCAACATAACGGGGTGTTCTGAATTTCCACCAGCACTTCCCTACTAGACATGTGTAACTTGTACCATGGTTACAGGTGCTATTTTGAGATCTAGTTTTTCTGTAAGCTATCACCTTATAAAACAAGGACTTACTCATTATATTACTTTCTAGTTACTCTCTCTGTTTTAGGATGTTTAGGGAAAATAAGTTATTAACACCTGTGTAAAATCATCTCCTTAACTAGTATCATAGTTTTGCTAAACCGTCATCTTTCCTTTTAATTTTAAGGAAATTCTTTAAATGCTCTTACCTGTAATGCCTACAGGTATTATAAAAGATCTACTTATAGTGTCAGTCAGCCAAGGCTGGACACTTGCAGCTTTTGTGCCGAAAGTCTTTTGATGGCTTCTCCAGCTGCTTGTGATAATTGAAAGTCATTAATAAAAGAGTTTGTCCTTGGTTTTAAAAAGAGGTTCTCTGTGACCAACCCATTGGAAAGATCTATAACTTTGGTTCCCGGTGCTTATAAAGATCTTATCTTCAGAACACACTGCAGATTCTATTTGGATTCCTACAGCAACAGGTTGTTAATTACCATGGCAGTCTCTCTCATTATGGCTACTGCTAGCAGGACCTCCCTCCATCTACAACTGATGTCCCCTTCAGAGTCTGCAGATAACATAGAAAGGAGACCGACACATATGGCCTGAAGAATTATAGGTATACTTATTGATCCTATGATATCTACTGGAAATTCAGAATCCCAAGACCAGCTCAAATGTCATTACCATTTCTTCTTAATTCTTCTTTTTTTTTTTCCTTCTGAATTCTTTCACCTAAGTATCCCTGTTATGGGGTGAAATGCATCCTTCCAAAATTCATATGTTGAAGTCCTAATACCTAGTACCTAAGAATGTGGCTGCATTGGAGACAGGATTTTTAAAGAAGAAACTAAGGTAAAGTGAGGTCTTATGGATGGGCCCTAATCCAATACGACTGGTGCTCCTTATAACAAGAGGACATTAGGACAAATACACAAATAGGAAAAGACCACGTGAAGACATAGAGAGAAGATGGCCATCTACAAGCCAGGGAGGGAGTCTCTCAGAAGAAACTAATCGTGTCAACACATTGATCGTGGACTTTCAGCCTGCAGAACTGTGAGGAAATAAATGTCTGTTGTTGAAGCCACCTTGTCTCCGGTACTTCATTGTGGCAGTCCTAGAAAACTAATACAATCCCTAACAAGGAGAATGAATAGGCATATACCCCAGGGGTTCAGTGGCACTGGCAAGACTGCTGCAGTCATAAACTTGAAGTCTAAAGACTTATCTGAAACATTCACAAGCCATTTACATTCTCTTCCATAATGCATCTGTGTTTGTGATCATTCAAAAAAATCAGAGTTGCTTTCCAGATATTTGAATAACATTGACTCTTCAAGAAGATGCACTGTGGTTATCCTGGCCCATGATTGACATCCTTCAGGGATGTGCTTACTATGAGAAAGACAGGAGTACTTTTTCATATTATATGAACTTCAACCCACTTCTCACCTCCACAACAGTTCTTATCTCATGAGAAGCAGTGGAGATGGTTATCTGGATAAGCAGGAAGAGCAAACCTGCAAATGCAACCTTTATCTCTCATTCAGAGATTATCCAGGGCCCTCAAGGGCCCTGGATAATCTCCATCAGATCAGCTATTGAAAGCCCCCAGCTGAATCAAGGCTTTCTGACTTTTCTGGCATCAGGAGTATTGTTCAGAATCATGAGTACCCTCCACAATATCCAGCATCATACACAGGCCTCCATACAGAAATGGGGAAGATAAAAACCTTAAAGCTGTGCTCTTATAAACATTTAAGATAAGAGGAATAATGGCCCTATCTGTAGGTAAGAAAGTGTAGGATATTAAAGGACCACAATTTTACTTTTCATGTAGACAAAGGGAAAGCAAAATGCTGGCCAAGACAGGCTAACTATCCTTCAAGTTGAATTAGAAAGCTCCTCCCAATATCATCTGGCCATGCCCTCATTTTAAGTTTAACCTAATGATTAACACTATATTTAACTATCAACGTACACACTCTACTTTATTTAGGAATAAATGTGTATTTGTTTTATCAACTCTCCCAGGAACCTACTCACAAGTGAACTTGGACTTAGTTAATACTCCAGGTGCTCTGTGGAGGTTGTCTCTCATTTTATCCTCTGGACATTACCATTCGCCCAAACTCCCATGCCACTTTCTTATTTTGGATGTTTATTCCTGGTTTTGTTAAAAGAGAATGACAAATTTGACTGTGGGAAGAATGTTTATGTTCATCCCAAATCTAATCACAAGTTGCTAAGAGAAATATTCTTGTCTAAATTGCACGTGTCCAAAAGTGTTTTAGCCCTTCAAACCATGAACAATAATTTTGCAAACTTGGTAACTATCTGGTGTTATGAATAAATGCCTAACGATAAAGGGTGAAATACAGGTTTAATATATTATGTATTCCCAGCTCCACACATTAATACTGATGTATGACTTTACCAGGAACCCCTTTTTAGGCTTTGTGGTCCAATAAATCTCTATAAAATTAGTATTGTAGATTCTGGAGTTTTATTTCTTATTCTTTTATTATCAGATACTCCTCTTTTCTCAATACTACATAATTTTGGCTAGGATGCCTTGAAAGATCAGAGAAATTATCATACTTTTGCTGTTTCTGTTACTCCTCCAACTACATGACGCAGTATTTTAAGTGGTTGGATAGACAACACTGTAAAATTAATGTGATTTTAAAATTACCCATGAGCAATTTTCTTCCCTCCTATTTTTACATACATAATTTTATGAAGTTTTCACCATATATTTTCTATTCAAAACGTTTCACTTAACATATCATAATAATTCAATCAACCTAACTCTTAGTCTTTAAAATTATCATTTTAACAGACCGCTGCCTTGATGAAGGGTACAGTCTTGTTAGGGACTGTCCTAATATTCAGAGTCCCTGTTAGAATGAATGTGACCATATCAAAGATGACATTCAGCCATACTTCCCTTAGCTATATGTGCCTTTGAACAAATGTGATTTAACTCTGGTTCTTTCTACTCCTGCACTGATTAAGTGACTGTTATGTGCAAATTTGTGAGCTTCTTTCTTACTTTCTTTAGATTTTTGTGCATTTCAGACACTTTTGATCCGTGTGTACTTTGTCCCACCCCAAATTTCTTTCACAAGTCGAGTATCTAACCTGGAGGCTTATTTGACTTCACTCTCGGCTGGATCCTAATTCCTTGCTGAGTACCTAACACCCCTTTTGAAACCACTTTGGGTTATTAGCATGAAATAGAATCGGTGGTCCAGGGAAAGGCTTTTAGGACTGAAACTGCTGCATTGAGTCTCCACGGTCAGGTCATTGCTCCTCTCAGCATTGCAGCTGCCTCTCACGACATTCCGGTCAGATCTATACAACCAGAAGTAAAAGTGAACAATGCCTTCAGCCTGTGACACGCCTACATCACCAATATCTGGAGCTGGGTGGATAAGGAGATTTATGCTTAGTGTGTTTTCTGGTATCTGTGTGTCTCTATGACGTTGAAACACTTGGCACAGTAAGAATCTGTCAAATCTCTGTATTACAAGCATACCTCATTTAACTGAACTTCACTTTATTGTGCTTCACAAATGTTGCAATTGTTTTGTTGTTTTTACAAATTGAAGGCAAGACCGTCCACCAGCAAAAAGATTATGATTTGCTTTACTGCGATACTTGCTTTATTGTGGAACTGAATCTGCAGTATCTCTGAAGTATGCCTGTATTTATTTTAAACTAGAGCACCACTCTAAGATTATGAGGCCTGGCACTGAGAGAGAAATAGACTAATGTTTAGAGTAGAGTGTCTTTAAAAGTCACCTATTCCAGTCCTCCCTTTGATACCCGAAGAAAAGAAACTAAAGCCTATACAGGTAAAGTAACTGGCCAGGATCACAGCTAATTGGTGGTAGGAACTGGCATACAACAGTTTTATGAACGTGTGGGATAAGGAATACTGGTATTTTTGATAATCTTTGATGTTTATTATAATATATGCTTAGACCTGTGTTTCTTTGTTGCCCAAGTTAACAACTTTTCATGGTATGTGTTTCATCCACACTAACATTTTGTGCCATTAGTTTGTTGATGTGTCTGCCGTGCCTCCTCATTGGTAGGAATGTGGTGATAAGTTAACCATAGTATCATTTACTAAAACCTGATGGTTTGAGAGTTGAAAAAAATTTTAAGAACCACTGTGATAGGCCATCATCTTTTGCTTTTTTTTCAAGACCTAGATCCTGTAATTGATTGAATGCCAATCACGGTTTTTAGTACTTACCCTCGCCCCGGCTCCTGACTGTTACCCTGCGCTCACCAGGTTCTCTCCCCACCCCCCTGCTTTTACTCCTATTTCCAGAGGCTGCGTCATTGGACCCACCTTCCATTTTAATGTTCCTGCTCTGCACTTTGGTGACGTTTCCTTTGGTGAGTACTTTTCCATTTTAAATTAGAAACTGAGAAGAATTACTTTTCTCTCTACATGGGAGAAGAAAGGTTTACAAAGAATATTTCTTTCCTTTTTTTTCATGGGTAATAGCTAAGAGGGTCTAGAATTTTTCTTCTTCTGCCACAGTGGCATTTCGGTGCCATTTCCTAGTTTCTGTGTGAAAGTTGTTATTGTGTCCTGGGCACTAATGGCTGTCAGGCCATGGCTGTCCCCCTTCCTCCGGCAGTGGGACCACAGACCGCCTTGTGCTTCACTCCACTATCTGAATATTACAAACTTCCTATTAATATGCAGGTTCTGATTGGCCAGTCAGGATACACAGGAACCGTTTCACAGAGAGGCTCTCAAGTTTAAAGTGAGCTCAGTGGTGGTTTGATTCAGGTGTCTTATCATTTCAAGTCGAAGATTCTTCTACAATACTATCGTTTTGTGTTGTCTTCTCACTCAGTTACTTCTCTGAGTCATTTTCTCCCATCTAAGCTTCCCCAGTAATAAAAATGATAACAACAGTAGCAGTACAAGTTCCCATTTTTTGGTTCTTCCTATATATTTCAGTCACTGCTAAGTGAGTTACATGCAGCACTACATTGAAACCTTTTAGCAATCCCCTGGGGAGGCACTATTTAAGATCCCCATCTAAGAGATGGAAGAACTGAGCATGGAACAGTTAAATAACTTCCTGAAGTCACACAGCAGTGACAGAATTAGTATTTCAGTTGCGATCTATTTAAATCATGTACTGTCAACACGAGTGATATTGCCCCCGAAGAGGCGAAAATTGGTTCTTGGATGTTGGGAAAAAAAACTTAAATATGACAGTGGCTTGTGGTCCTCTAAAACTCAGTCCTACCCAACAGAATTTCATTCCTTAGTATCAAATTTTTCTCATTAGGGAAAAATTAAATCGAATTTAAATCATAATTAAATATAATTGATTTGATTGCACTTAAAATTAATTTATCACAATGGTTCTTTTTAGGAGGTAATAATAATAATAATAATAATAATAATAATAATAATGATAAAGGTTGAAAACCACTAGTCTAAGTCCATATTCCATAACCCTTTCTATTTTACTCTATTGCCTCCCATTTTGACTTTCAGTTCTTTCGCTTCAAAGTAGGCCCATCTACTTGGGGAGAAATTGTTCTTTAGAAAAAGCTGATTAATAATGCCTTTGCCAGTTGCATTAACATTTGGGGTTATGACAGTTTTATTTATTCAGAACATATTTATTTATACAGTGTTCCCCCATCTATATTATATGGGGTAAGGTACATATTATAAGTATGTAAATGAAGTTGAATGTTTGTTACTATAGAATATAAAAATGGCTGGAGAGGTTTTTATAATTTTGTAGGGCATGTTTGAGTGATAGACTCTTGAAGGAAAATAAAAGTGCCCTACAACTTGAAAATCGTCTGGTGGCCAACTAAGAGGTATACTCTCTCAAGGGTAATTGTGACAGATGCTCAATAAGAAGTAAATTAGTATACCCAGACCTAAGCAGTCATTCTCCAAACAGTTCAAACTGAGTCCACAGAGAGGTCTGGGCAATTGATGCATGACAGCAGCATATCCCTCCACAGCCATTTAAATACAAAGTCCAGCACAAGGACATTTGGACGATGTCCCCCCTATATCATATTGCCCTGCAGGGAGAAAACAGAGTACAAATAAGCACCTCAAATCAGTTCCTCCAAGAAATCTCACACTGATTCATTGTCCAGACTCTCCTCTATTGCTCAGCTCTGCAATGTTAATGTAAATGCGATACAAATGGTAAAGCCAACAGCTGTTTCTCATAGTTGGCCCTGCTTGAAGTTTTGGTAACTAGCTTAGATGAAAATTAGAAACAGCTTATTTTTCTTCTCTTGGATATTATCTAATGGAACCATTTGATGACACAGCAGCTAGTCAAGAGGATGGAACACACTACAGAGCCATGACCCAAGATTCCCCAAATCTGAGATATGAAAACTTACCCCTCCTAAGTCCACTTTCAAAACCCAAGTTGCCTTCTTTGTTCATTTGGATATGGATCCCTCAGTCTTCTCTAGTGCAGCAGAAAATGTTAACAAAAACATAACTTTTTTGCTTGCCAACAGGAAGTCTAGAGCAATTTGGTTTTCAAAACCATTTGAGTCAGTTAATTCAGGCTATTTTGCTGTGCTTCTGGACTTTGCACTGTAACAACCAAAGTCAAGGACAGTTTTGTGATACTGTTTCAAAATTATTTTATGATAATATTTTCAAATCCCAAAGTTAGAGTCCACATGACTCCAACACAAAATGTCATTATTTTCCCAGGTAGATTGACCTCCCATCACAAAGAAACATGGTCGATTGGACGGTTACTTGTTGGAAACTGTCTAATTATTGCCCCACGTGTGCAAGTAGGGCTTTAATGAGGCAGGTAAAAGTAAGCAAGTTATTGGCTCAGGAATGAAAGACCAATAGGGGTACATTTAGGTCCAGATGCCAAAGAGAAATTAACTATTTCGGGAAAAAGCCAGGAATTGGAGGAATTTTTTTAGTCATGATGACAGACATATTGTGTGGAGTTAAACAAGGTTTGCAGAGACTGTTGTAGGGCTTGGGAGTACATTAAGCTAACTAAAGTTGGTAGTATCGTTCTCATATTGGCACGAAGGCCCATTCCTGAAGAGGTATTACCTGTGATAGGTTAGTGTTTGGAGACATGGCATTTATTTGCTTGGAGATGAAGATCTAGATGTGGCATCAGGGTTTGTTGGGATTGATGATGTTAGGATATTATAAATACCATAAAGTACACCTGAAACTAATGTAATAAAAATAAAACTAAATAAATGAATACTGTAAAGTAGGTGAGCAGTAATAATATTCTTGGTTGGTATCTAAAATGTTTAAAGTGCAGCAATAAAGATTTTGATGGTAGGTAGGATTGGATGTTGGGTGACATATCTAATAATTAATTAGGCTGACTGAAGCTACAATAGCATGAGAGAGTCAGGTTATAGGATCTGAGTGGCAGTTGTCCCTGGAGGAACACTGAGGCTTTGATAAACCCTCGGATTGATAAAAAATAAAATGGGCCAAGTAGCAACCAATATGCCATGTGACAGACCAAAAGAGGCAGGCTAAGTGTCTGTAAACTCGCTATTTTTTAGGAGGCAGAAGAATGTGTTGAATGAGAATAATGAGTCTGGAAGGCTCCAGGCACTCAGTGGACTTGACCATTGGATAATTTGGACAGAGAAGTTAGTGTTCATGGGTACAAATGTTGGGATAAACATAAGCATCAAAAAAAAAAAAAAAGAAAAGAAAAGCACGATACTTGTCTCTTCTGCCAAGTATGAACTGGAAGTATTTTACTCAAAGAGAAGTATTTAAATTGACTTTAGGAGGTTGTACAGTTGGGAGTCAAGGGCAAAGATTAATTGTAATGGTCGTAAACAGATCTTAGAAAGGCTGGCAGAGAGACCATAGTAGGCATGAGCAAAGCCTACACCCAAGCAAGTTATCACTAACAGTAAGAGACACACATCAGCAGATTTCAGAATTCTATAACCTTAAGGTAGTAAATAGAGAATAATATGGCACAATGATAAAGAACAGAAGTATGCAAAGGAAAGCATGAGAATCAGTAATGTCGAGCACTTAGCAAAACCTTGTTCCATCAGTCTTGGGCAGATCTTTCTACTTTATGTAAAGACTACTTGTTCTTAGCTTAGAATAGCAATCTATTTCTGAAGGTCATCCATGTCTGGAAATTTTATTAGCAAGCTTTCATGTAAGCTCTACAGTAAGAGTTTTTAACATGTCTTCAGCTAATAATTTGATTCTTTGGATATCTTTTTACCCAAAGAGCCATTTCATAGTTAACTGCAGGGTCAGGGAAGCCTGTAAAGGAGACTTTGGTATATTTTTTCAGAGTACTCGTTATTGAGATTGGAAGAAAGGAGAGCGTCTGAGGGTGGGTTTTTAGGGAAAGGTTCTGGAACTTGTAGATGAGTTGGTTCTTGACAATACTTAGTTATGTCTGCATGAAGCAAGCTTGCTTCAGATTGATAAAAGACTTGTAATCAGTGGATGTTCCAGTTAGTATTTCCTGAGGTAAACAGTCTGTGAGTTCCAGAGGAAGTTAACCTGATCTGATGGACATTAGAACTAAAGGCAAAACACTTCACCAAAGAACTCCAAGAGCCTCAGAGAGCTTGACCAATTTAGGACTGATAATACTATTTTTATGCTCTACATTTCCCAAGGTTGTGGATTGTGGAATTTTTGTTCAAATGGTTAACAAACTGTAAGGTTCTTTATAACCCTTGTAAGGTTCTTTATAACCCTTCTGTGTAAGGCTGCAATTCCCCAGGGGGAAAGGTTATAGTGTACAGTTTCTTAGTCACATTCATAGCAGCAGCCTTTCTGTGTGGGGAGGCTCAAATCCATCTAAAGAATTTATAGACAGGGCTGGCCGAGTGGCTCAGTTGGTTAAGAGCTCACTCAAGGGTTTGAGCTCTGAGCAACAGCGGTTCGATTCCCAGCCCGAGCTGAGCAGCTGCTGAGCTGCCAACAGGTAGCAGGATGGCTCAGCTTAAAAATAAAGAAATAAAAATAAAGAATTTATAGACAATTACAAAAACATATTCTTTATTTTTGGCATTAAAAGATTTTATTGGGGAACAATGTGTTTTTTCCAGGACCCATCAGCTCCAAGTCGTTGGTTTCAATCTAGTTGTGGAGGGCACAGCTCACTGACCCAGGTGGGAATTGAACCAGCGACCTTGGCGTTATGAGCACTGTGCTCTAATTAACAGCCAAACGGCTGCCCACTGGCAGCTCAGCTCCAAGTCAAGCCGTTGTCTTTCAATCTAGTTGTGGAGGGTGCAGCTCACTGGCCCTTGTGGGAATTGAACTGGCAACTTTGGTGTTAAGAGCCTGTACTCTAACCACCTGGGCTAACCGGCTGCCCTAAGAACATAGTCTTAATTATGTGATTTGTACACAGCCCATTTTCATTTGAAAGGTCTTCTGGAGTATGATTTAGACCCATGTCCCACTGCAGTTTTCTTGGAATATGATAGCAGGATGTAAGGCAGAAACCAGCCACATCCCCACCTACAGAGGAGAAATTTTCCCATCTACTCTTGTTCAGAGATTATATCTCTTCTATGATTGGACCTGTGGTATAAGATTTTTGTCAAAGACCACCTTAGACTTTGGGGTACATCATAGTTGGTGTGCCAAAGACCATTGAAGTGGGCATAGGATCCTGATTTTAGGAAACGTTTGTTTTCAAAGTCTGAGGCTGAATATTTTATGTCCAAAATGGATTGTGTGGATGTATTTATTGATCTCCCATATTCTGATTTATTTCTATAAACGACTATAAAAATGCCACCTGTTTTGCACAATGATCTGCCAACACATTTCCCTTTGCTTTGTGGAGATTTTTATTTTACTAGAAAAATTAGGAATTCATTGTCTAAAATATCCCACATATCCCCTAAAGTCTGTGAATTGTAATTTAATTTTTGGTCTTGGGTATTGCTGAAACAATTTCATATTCTTCTTCAGTAGGGTCCATTCTTTAGTAGAGAGATCATGTTCTAAATAATGTACCACCTTTTGTCAGAATTGAAATTTTTCCTTTGCAGCCTAATGATCTTTTGCTCCTAGTTTCTTTAAGTCTTCTTAGGGGCTTTCTAGGTCAGATGAAAAAATATATATATTGACTGAAACTCAAATCTCTTGAGACTATTGTCTTTAAAATCATTACTTACATACTGGGAGATGTATGAAGGTCCCTTTGTGAAACTGAGGCATTCTGGCCAAGCAGGTTGTTAATTATTCCAAAAAAATAAAAGGTACATAGTTGTTGAGTTTTTATATACTAGATGCTAAAGAAGGGAGAATAGAGTACTCAGCACTGCAAAGTACTTGCATTCAGAGGAAACTCTACAATGTATAGTATCAGGATTTGGTGCAACCAGAAACCTAGGAATAACATTCATATTAATGACCCTTTAGTCTTTAACAGTATTCTTTTCCTTTAGGCTTCTTAACAAGCAATGTGGGATATTACAAGTAGTTGTACAAGGAATTGTTCTATCTAGGAGGTGGTAATTGGCTTTATTCCCAGAAAAACTAATAGCTTCATAAAGTAGCCTGAGCAATGGTTTGAGAGAACCCACCTGAATCTTTGTAGGATCTTCTTCCATAATATGTACACCCTACATTAGAAGAGTGTTTATTCCATAAATGGTCCGAAAATAAGGGTAAGGAACCTATAGTTTCAAGAGTCAATGTTGGGTTAGTTCAGAAAAGTCAAATGCAGCAATTACATGATTATGAAATTGACTTTCTAGCAGTTCCTCTGGAATTTCTAAGAATAATCCTTCAAGTGCACTTAATCAGACAATTCTTTTTCCATTAATGATCTCTTCCAAGTAGATTGGCAAGTGCAGTGTCACAAAGGAGACAGGAATGTGTTTACTCTATAGTCTTAATGTGTAGACAAAGGCTCAGACAAGGGGAGAGAAGTAGATTGGTTCAAAACACCCCCTGCAGTACTGCAGGCGTTACTCTAAGACCAGTTGTATAATATTGCAGTTGGGTTCAAAGTAGAAAGAGTAGTGTTTGTATCCAGTAGAAATATACATACCGGTTCTCCTATCATTATAGATAATTCTTTTTTTTTTTTAAAGATTTTATTGGGGAATTGGGGGAGGGGAACAGACAAGTTGCTGTCATTTTGTTATTTAGTCTAGTTGCGAGGACATGCTTCACTGGCCCATGTTGGTATTATCATTGCGCTCTTCCCAGGTAAGGCAGTCGCTCGCCGGCCATTGGATGGCAGCTCATGGCAGCTAACGAAAGCTCATGTCCGCTGCCGGCCAGCCCCACTGCAGCCTACGCTGTCGCTGGCAACTCATGGCAGCCCAGCTCCAGGTCAAGCTGTTGTTCATCATCTTAGCTGTAGAGGATGCAGCGTCACTGGCCCTCATGTGGGATCCAAACTGGGGCCCTGCTGCTCAGAGCTGGTGTCCCAAGCCAACTCTTAACCAATGTGCCACTCGGCCGGCCTTGTTATAGATAATTCTTGGTCTGAAAGTGGGAGCAGACAAAAGGGCCATGTAGGGAACCCAAACTCAGAGTTCAGTTTATTGCTTACCAGGCAAGGAGGAGCCACCTCTCTTAGGAAAGGAATGTGGGTTTCACTGAGCTGAATTTAGGAGGGTTAGATATAACATGAAAAAGCAGCTTTGTCTAAGGGAGGCAAAAGCCAACGTGTTAGTCTCTGGCTGGCTCAGAAGCAGATCGCAGTCTCTTGGGAGAGGCTGTTTGGTTTTGTGTCATTGACCCTGAGGGCACAAGCCGCAGACAAGTCCAAAATGAGTTATATAATGTCTTAGCAGGCTCGGGGTCACACAGCGGGCAAAACCACACAGGCTTCTCTTTCACACATTGGCAAATAGAAAGAGCAAATATAATTCTATTTGTGGGGGGGCGGAATTTAATGAGAAATATACTTCTGGAAGACTGCTCAGCAAACCGATAATGGGGCTGCCTCTTGAGAGGGACCTAGATGATGATTTTATGTCTACTGTTGCTACATAGTAAATGCACAATAAGTATTCATTGAATGAATGAATGAATGAATGAATGAAATGTGTTTATTGATTTACAATTGAAAACAATATCAGGGAGAGTTGTTGTTAAACAAGTAATGTTGAATTGCATAGACAATTCATTTAAGAGGTTTGGGGGAGGTTGAAGTTCAAGGGAGACTATTGTGGGGCTTTTATTTCTTACCTCATATTTTGTTTTCCAGGGTTTCCTCATACCTTGATATGTTCCCTCAATAATACCTCCTTGGTTCCCATGACCTTCAAACTGCGTGTCCCTGGGGATGGTGTTGGCCATAAAAGCATTTCAAGTAGTGAGCAGTATTCAGACAACAAAAGACCACCTTGGAACAAGGATGAAGTACCTACAACAAAACCAAAAGAATTCACCATCACTCCCGACTGTGGCACCATTCACTCCCAAGGATTTGCTGTTATCAGGGTACAGTTCACAGCCTTCCTGCACACACGGCCCAGCAGCCGAACTCTTGCATAGGTCCGGAGACCACACCTAGGGTTTGCCCTGAATGCCCAGTGTCAGTGGGAAGGAGTGCCTCTAATTCACATGGGAAAGTGGGCCTATCAGGAAATAAACTACTATGGCAAAAGAAACCAGAAACAGATAGATTGGGCAAAAGACGTGACCCTGCTCCAGTGGATTTTCATCAATCTACATGTGTTGCCTTCTCCAGAGCAGTGGACTGTAGTGATGTGTAGTGAAACCACTGCTCTATATAGATAGTTCACCCATCAGTGCTAAAGTAAAAGGATTTAAGGACTCAGTAATCATTAGGCCCTCCTTTCCTTCAGACTCAATCATTTATACCAATCAATGTCTAGACTTATGCCACGGACGATATCCAGTTCATTCAGATTTTTAATACGCATCTGGGCTTCCTGGTGAATGTGGATGTGATGTTCCTAATAGCGCTTAATATTTAAGTCAACAGCGTGATGCTTTGGCCATAGCTTTGCAGTGCTACCTGAAGAATTATTTCCTGGCTAACTGTGAGAGGTTTTACTGTCCTCCTCACTTACTTTTTCTTTTCCAAACAGATCCAGTGATATTGGAGGCTGCTAAATTGACATGATTTTATCTTTCTGGGGAAAGAAAAAAAGATAAGACTTCATAGATAAAGACTTTCTCTTTTGTCATTATCTGTGAATATTTAATTCAGCTATGGTTTTTATCCCCCAAATTTCTTTTAAGTGCTTCATAATGTCTCACCATGAATGCACTCATCCTAAGGTGCATTCGTGGGAGTTTTCAGCTCTTCCAAGGGCTTCTCCATGGGTCCATTGAGATTTGACATCATATATCTATATGTTCTCAAGGTTGCTGTCTCTGTCCATTTGGGCTGCTATTACGAAATCCCAGAGACTGGGTGGCGTATAAACCACAGAAATTTATTTCTTACAATCTGGAGGCAGAAAGTCCAAGATCAGGTTGCCAGCTTGGCTGGGTTCTGGTGAAGGGCCTCTTCCAGATTGCAGCCTGCTGACTTCTCCTTGTATCCTCACATGGTGGAAGGGCCTGGGGAGCTCTGTGGGCCCTCTTTTATAAGGGCGCTAATCCTGTTCATGGGGGCTCCACCCTCTTGACCTAATCACCTCCCAATGTTCACGCCACCCAAATGCCATCACAGTGGGGGTTAGGATTTCAGCATGTGAATTTGGGGGAGGGGGCACAACCATTCAAATCATAGCAGTTGCTAACTGTGACTTTCTCAGGGAGAGGTGCTGCTGTCATGAATTTATTTATTTTTACTTAGCAATGCTCAGCCTACATGATCTCTACCCTTCCCCCCGCCCCGTTTTTTTTTCCTCTCCCACATTGTATAGGAAGATTTTTGAAGACATAGATAGCATCTATCTAGAGGTGTCTTTCATAACCACTTTTTCTTCTGCCTTCTAACCATAGCTCAGAGACCAGGGTTAGAATCTCCCTGGGAATCTCTGCATGCCGAGGCAGCTGCTTCTCTCCAAATCTGATACTTTTTCCTCCAAATCAATGACTCCTTCTTTACTTTATTTTCTCTTTATTTTGGAAAAGCTTTCTCTAAGCTTCAATTTTCCCTCATGATCTGCACTCCAACCACGTTTGTGTGGACTCAAATTTGCATCCAATAATACCCTTTGCAACCCCAAAAAATTTTAATTAGTACCTGATACATAATTTATAGATAGAAAAGCCTTAACCTGTGCTAGAAGCTGTTTTCTAGATGTACGAGTTATCTCTTCCAGTACAAATCATTTGAAAGCAATTAAAAATTGTAACAAGGCTTCAAAAGCCTAAATATAAGGCTTCAGAACAGTAAATAAAAACATAGGGTGAAATATACTGGCCAGATATTGCCCTTGGGTAGGCTTTTCTTTGGAGCTTCCTATTTTCTGTTCTAATAATGAATACTGGTGTGTGGAGGTGAGGGACAAAATTTTGGTTAAAAGAAAATAAATGACTAGTTGGTTTTTTATGCCATTTCTGGAATTGACATGGTTATTTCATTTATTTTGCCTTAAGAGAAATGTAGCTGTAGTGTTTTATCAGTGTATTAAATTTTCATAATTTATATAGCCCAGACATATAGGAAACAATTTAAATTGCAACAATTAATAGCTGTTTGGTATTGCTCATCCTTCAGGGTCATTTTTTTCCCCTTCTGCAGGTAGATGGTTTCTTTGGTACAACCTCCTCAGAAATGAAAGACCTATTATACTAAAAGCCACTTAGGTTTTCACCTGGTCTTTGAAAAAACTCAGCGTGCCCTGGCCCCGAAATGTAACTTGTTCAACTAAAAATGTAAACTGCCATACATCCCACAGTGAAGTACTTAGAAGCTGCGCTCATCAGTGTGGTTGTCCCTGGTTCCTTTGTCCCCTGCGCAGAGGGACAGCTGGTCTTTCAAAAAAGCAGCCTTCTCCTTTTTCTTCTCAGGTGACCTTATGCTCTAACACTGTGCAGAAGTATGAGCTGGCTCTGGTAGTGGACGTGGAGGGCATTGGGGAAGAAGTGCTGGCGCTCCTGATTACAGCCAGGTATAGCACGCACCTGCTCCCCTCTCTGCCATCTCCCCTGAGCCCCCAGGAGTGGGCTGCCTCTCTCGCAGGCAGCACGCCTGCCCTGCCCGCAACCAGCTCACACTGGTTTGTTCTGCTTTCCTAGGAAGGGAGCTGAATTTGATATTTGGATGACAAAGCTTTAAAACAGCCAACATACCTTTGATGGAGATAAGAGAAGGAATGTGTGTGTTGTGCAGTGTTGAGAATAAGAATGCTCTCTCTTTCTGAATTTCCAAGTATATAACTAAAAAGGTTTAGCAGGAAGAGGAGTTGCTATTTTTTATTTTTTACCTTTAAATACCATTTTCCAGAGTTACACCGCAGAAAGAGTGGTGCTCAGGGTCCTGCTGGGGAAGATCCACTTAGCAGAATGCTCTTACTATGACCTGAATGTGGGCTGCAAGCGGCCCTAGATGAGGCCCTCTCAACAATATAAATTCTTCAGAACCATCACCAACTTCTCTCTCTTTTAGCAAAGGCAGCACTGGGCTCTGGAGTCAGGTTAAGATCCTGGCTTTTTTTGTTGACTGTGTCTCCTTGACCAAGTTACAGCCTTTCCATGGATGGTGTGTCATCTACAGGTGCTGACAGTGATCCAAAATAAAATCATGGGCTACACTCTTGCCAAAGCAAACAAGTGTCCAGATCGGGGACTTTGGAGTATGTATATGAAAATACCGTCTAAAGGAAATAGAGATAATTACTTAGTAAAACTCTGATAATATATTAATTCCTAGAATTTAGGTCTGTCATGAATCTTAGGAAGATGCACCTTCAGAAAGGTGCAGACATGCTGGCTGGTGGGGCTATTGCAACAGGCACCATGTCAGGTGTCCCGGGCTTGGATGAAGCCAAACAGCAGCCCTAAAAGAACTTGAAGGTCAAGGCCTTGCCATGATCTACTTAGTATTCCTTCTAAAGACCTAACTGATTTTTTTTTGCTTGTTTGTTTAAAAACAGCACAAAATCTTTCATCTGATGCTCTCTGTACCCAAGTTTGCCTTTTTGTCCAGTCTTGCATTTCTTTTCTATGTGGGTTTATTCTGATGCTTTCCAGCCTCTTTTCCATGCAGCTATCAATAGGAAGACCTGAATTTTTTTGTTTTTTAAAAAGGTTCTAAGAGGCTATGAGTTTTCTACCATGTATACTCTGTGACCCAAGTCAAATACTACAATCCCTCTGAGCCACAGCATTTCAGATAGTAAGGGATTAGCTTTATGAACGTCATTGGGTCAGCCAACTAACTCCTTTTCTCCCTAAAAATGAATACTCATCCCATGTGAAATCCTAAGGTTTGGGGTTAACAAGACTCTTTCAAGTCATTACTTCAGTGTAACCTGCAGGAACCACTCAAAGACTCTCAACAGAAGAGCTGCTTTCAGCACTTGCTCCCTAAAGTAATTTTCCCAGAGAGCCAGCAGTGACGGCGTGCTGTGCCCCCTGCCACACGTTAACCGTCTCTTACCGAGCCCTTCCCTGGCAATGTGCTATGCCCTTCATTCATGCTATCGCCTGTATTTCCCACAACACCCTAAGAAGAGTTAATGGTGCTAATGTCAATCCCTAGAATGACCTTCATTTTACCCACAAGCAAAATGGGACTCTGGGAGGGAAAGCAACTTGCGCCAGGTTGTACTTGGGAAGGTCAGTATTTGAACCTGGCTCTGATTGATTCAAATGCCAGTGCTCCTCACCACTGCACTGTATTGTGACAGTGTAGTAGGGCAGGTCAGAAGTTGAGATTCACAGATACAAAATAAGACCCAAGTCACCTAATAATAGACCAACTGCACACACAAGGCTTCAGTTCCTCCCTCTCTGGCACACAACTCTCCCTCCATCTCCCCCACCACACCCCCTTCACACTGAGCATCGTTGTCACAAAGCCAGTTCTGGCTCCAGCAGCTGCCGAAGCGTACTGATCCAAGACAGCTGTTCTGCATAGGAATTAGAATTATTACCATTATTTAGATGGTATAAGCTGTTGCTAGTCCTCAGGGGACTCTGGTCAAAAGTGTCAGAGCTAGTTAGGACCCCATGCTGGTGGCATTGGCCCTGTTTGCCATGGAACCAGATCTGCTACCCTAAGGAACTTGTACTGTTGCGGGTCCCTTGCCAAAGGAAAGCCAAATATGAAAAGCAATGGAAATGTTAGTCATTACCCACCAAAAACAGCTGTTTAATGAGTCCTGCTTCTGGCCCTTTTTTTGATTAAAAAGTAGTGACTGGGGGCTAAGGGAGACGGATGACAGAAGGAAGATTTGAAAATGATTAATGTAGTTATTAGAGCAAACTATGACAGTGACAAATGTGTTTAACTTGGGACTTACGTTCTCTATATGTAAACATGCTCTCTGTCCTTTTAAATTCTTTAATTGAGCTCCTTCCTTTGAGCAGGTGTGTTGTACCTGCCCTCCACGTGATTAATACAGAGATGGACTTCGGGCACTGCTTCCTGAAGTACCGATATGAGAAAATGGTACAGCTTGTCAATGATGACGACCTCCCAGGATGCTATGAGGTCCTGCCTCCGGTAAGTTACTTTATCTTTTCTCAGTGTTGATTTTTTTTCTTCAGTTGGATTTCTTCAATGAGAAAGAGAAATCCTTCTTAAGAGCCTATTCCTGAAATTCCTGAACACATGACTTTCTGTAGTCCTGCTTTTGAACACTGGGATAGTCTGTGGATGGGGTTATAAAGCCACAGCTGGATTGCCACCTGCAGGAGTGAGTAGCTGCAGGTGTAAACAGTTGTTAATTTCCCAGGAAAATTGCCTTTGATAAAGAAATAAAGAGTCAATTAAGCCAACATGCATAAGTTGCACCTGCAAATAATTGACTGAATTAACCATGCATAGGAAATGAGACAGAGCTAGGAGTTTTTGTTGATGTCTGTCTGGCTGTGACTCGAACAGCTTCATTAAGATATAGTAATGCAATATTTATAAATGGACTTTTTGGACTAGAAGGCTAGAGATAATATAGGAATGAGAAAGAAGGAGTTGCCTGTTAATGTTGTATGAAATAGATCTGTCTACATGCCACTACACTTAGCTAGGTGGGAGACTAAGCAGTCAAAAGCATTGGGATAAAAGATTTAAAAAGAGCTGTACAGCCTAGAGTAATGGAAGGTTCCTAATGAGATGCAGTTCACCAAGAATGCATCTGGGTTTAAAACCCAGTTCTATAAGTACAGTAATACAAATTCGTGCAAACGAAATCAAATGAGGGGTTTTATTTTACTACAATTTCAAAATGAATTAAAAGACCAAATAGGGGCCACAGAACCAAGGCGGGATTAGGCTCCATCAGCTAAAGGAAGGAGATGGCCACTGGTCAAAGCGATGCCAGAATTTTGTCTTCTGGCATCTAGACATTGTATTTTTGTAATAGAAACTTGAAAAGACATGAATCGTGTTCGGAGTAACCAGAATGGCAATCTAATTACCTGGAAATCCAAGTCGTATGAGGAGCAAACACAGAGTTTAATCTGGAACAGACAAGACTTAACCACAAAATAGCTACTGTTCACTCGTCAAAGGGCTGTTATGTAAAAGAGGGAATGAGAATTATTCTGTGCGTTTCTCTGAGACAAAGCCAGAAGCTAAGGGTAGGGGTGACAGGAGACAACTTTTCTAACTTTCACATGCTTAACAGCAGAACAGGCTAGCCCTGCAGAGCAGAGCCTGCATCTGGGGTGATAGGGAAGCTAGTTTTGCACAGCTGGGCTGAGGAAAGGGTGAGGCACTTGGCTCAAGCACAAAATTTAAGGGGGAACCAAAAAACTCAGTAATCAAGATAGATAATATTTTCATGCCACATTTTAAGAAATCAAAATGAGTTTAAAAAAACCCACGATAAACAAAATATCAGAACTTTAGATAAAAACAGAATCAGGACTACTGGTTTTCCTTTTGCCTCAAGCTCCAGTAAGGCTGAACAGTGGGATGCTGAGCTATATTAGGCCACGTTAGACCAGACCAGGCATGGAAAGACCAGTGGGTGCTCCAGGCAGGCGAAACCTGCGTGCTCTATCCTTATCTCAAGGAGCTGAGTCTCTGAGAAGTGTGTTTCCCAGAATTGCCTAAATTTATTTGGCCATAGGATTTTTGTTTTATTTTATTTATTATTAGAATTTGGGGGTTGATTTTATTTGGGTGTCTCGTGGTGGTTAGAACCACTCTGTGTTCAGAACAATCATGGCACAGGAAATACGTCACCAAGACTGCCCAGAAAAGTCTGACCCGCTGAGTCTTATTGTTTAAAATACACATATTCATAATAACTGACAAATGGTGATGTGCCTCATAGGAATGTGTTAGCGTTTGCAAATCTTCCGACTTGCACCATCGACCAACCCCTTCCTTCTCATTCACCCGAAAATAAGACTCAGTCAAATCCCCCTGATCCCCTAACCAGCCCTTCAACTCCCCATTTCCATCTGTCTCCATGCAGGGTGGCCTCCTGTAGCAGGGGCTAGACTGTGATCGCCCACTCCACCGGTTCCATTTGCTTCTTCTCGTGTCTTTAGGGTAGGATGCTGCAGTGAACCCAACAGTTGACACTCAGACCACTTCTCCAATCTAATTGGGAAAGGAAACTTGAGAGGGCCAGAATTCATCCATTTGATCAATTAACTAAAAAAGGGTTTATTTTGGTAAAACTTGATCTTCTTGGAGACACTTCAGTCAGTTGTTTGGGATTTTTTTTTTTTTAATGGTGGAAAAAAGGCATCTGAGGACTGCTGATGCACCCCCGCTCACTCAACGGCTTGCTTACATGCACTGGACCTCAGCAGAGGGAGGTAAGCGCTGTGGTGTCTGCCAAACTCTCCCGGCAATTCTGGGCAGAGCCAATGTCTGGGCCCGAGCTAGTCCAAGCTGGTCACTGAAAATCCAGTTAAAGTTCTGATTGAAGTTCCACCTTCACCTCTGTCCCTTGTGTTGGGGACAGCCCCTGGGGGCTGATACTCAGGCCAGGAGTAGCCGAGGGAGGCAGACAGGTTCCAAGCACGTTTCCAGTTACAGGGAACAGAACACAGGCCTCCGAGAGTCCTCGGAGCAATGTGCAGGTTGCAGTGATGGGTAGAGTAAAACCTCTCCTTCGAGCTCAGCATCACTGACAGACCCTGGGGACTGCGGTCGACAATGCTGCTGAATACACCCGAGTACACAGTCAGACATTGTTCAGTAAACAGTAAATGTGTAATGTAAACCTCGAGAGGGCCATATTTGCTCCAAACATGCGGTTAATGTGAGCAGAATGGCTGCCATTCAAAGTCTATTCACAGGAAAACGGCTGGGGGCTCACACACAATGGACAGACACACACCGGTTATCCAAAAGTCACTGGATACGGACTTCACTTGGTTCAACATGGGTTTTGGTTTTGTGAACTCCAAACGCAGACACTCATTCACCTCGCAGCCTTGGATTTGTCTACTTTTGGATACATACATATTTTTTTCCATTTCTTGCCATATTGTCAATGCCTAGTCTGAATATCATCATTTAAGAGTAGGGGAGGAATCAGACTCTTCATATGAACAGGTCTGGGCAGGAAATGTTTCGGCTATTTGCTTTCTCCACTCAGATTATTTCTATCAAAGTTCAACTGGTTATCCAAAGCCAAACTACAGTAATAAGGATCCTGTGGCTCTTCTGGACGGCTGCCTGCACGCCCCCTCCCTGGACTACCTAGAATCGTTACATAGGCTACAATTAGTTACCCCACTGTCAAAGCAGGGCAAGTGGGAGGGGCAGGGAGAGGGCATGAAACCTCAGATAACCAGCACGTTTTTTTCCAAGCGGTCAGTTTAAAAATCAAAAAAGAAAATTTAATTCAGTATCAAGAGAAAATACTGTGGGAGAGCCAGGCCGTGGGGCTGCCCTTCCTCAGGACCCACAGCCTCCTCGTTTGTTCACAGAGAACAGTGAGACACGAAGGCCTACAGACTGTGTGCCAGACTGTGTGCTTGGGATGGGGGAGGGCCCTGGTCACCTGTGGGCCAGACCAAAGGGCAGAGATGCAGACAGCTGCCCCTCTATCCACTACCATGGCTCAGGGCCTCCTGTGCCCCCACAGAAGTGCCCGAGATAGCCCCCTCCCAAGCCGGTGCACAAAACACCTCCTGCCTCCACTGCAGCCAGGCTCTTTGAAGGCCAACTTGGGAAAGAGCCGCCGATTTCCCTTTTCCAGAACAGAATTCTTGCCTGCCCACTGGTAAATTTCTTGTTTTCAGCTTGCTTTTTTTTTTTTTTAAGAAAAGCCAAAGAGAAGGCAGTATAATCTGCTACCCCCTGAACCAGTCAGCAGCTGGTCAGAACCCGCTGGGCAGGGCCGCTCAAGGATGCACAGTGATGCATTGATCTCACCACCTGGAATTGGAGAGCAACAAGCCCCCTACCAACCTACCACACACTACCTGTCAGTTCTCATCCTTTCACAGGATTAGCCCAGTTCCGGCTGTGCAGACACTGGCAGTGAGGGGTGATCATCCCTGTGGGGGGGTGTCTCTGCGGATTTCTTTCTTTGGCCATGGGATTTTTAAAGTTTTATTTGTGCTTGTTGTCATTGCATAAATGCTAGTGATACTCTGCAGAACAGGGTTCTGAGCAGCATATGTTGGTAGACACTGGACGACATTCATTCATTCATTCACCTACCTATTTCTCCATTTAAAAAACATGTATCGAGCATCTGATTGGGGCTAGAAAGTGGACATGTATTGAGAAGAGGCCTAGGTGGTGCCCTAAAAAATTTACAGCCTTATGCGGTGAAGATGAACACATAGGTAGTGCGCGTTATGGAAAAGGACTGCAGGATGCTCCCTGGGGACAGAGGAAAAGCTCTGACTCTAGGGCACTGGGGATCCCTGGGGGTATTCCAGATGAGGGTGCAGTCAGGTCAAAGGGAGAGAACATTCCAGGGCGAGAAAACACAAGTGCGAAGAGTTGGAGGTGGGAGGCAGTAGCATGTGTTCGGGACATCCCAATGGCCTTTATTGATGGGGCACAGAGGGATGAGGGGTGGGGGGTAAAGCTTGAAGGCATGGAGGGTCAGGTTAGGGACAGTGGCCACGTGAAGCTGCTGTCCTGGGCAGTGTGGGTAGTGTCTGCATCTTGCTGGGCTGTACATTTTGGATTTGGGGCCTTATGCACACCCCACTTAACTACACTTTCTTTTGGCAGAATAGGGGTTGCTCATTCGCTACGTACTTGAATGGTGATGCACTTCTAAAGCTCCTCCGTGGACACGGGACACTTGTCTTAAAATAATCTAACATACTGTTAATTTCATACTATGCCGAGGGCTTGCTTATTTTTCTGGCCTGTCTCTCCCACCAGGTATATGAGGCCTCGTCCGCTGTGTGGCTCTCTAGTCCCAGCCCCTGTGGAATCATCTCTCCCCACAGCACCGTTCACATACCTTTGACCTTGGAGACCCAGGCCATTGCGGAGCACAGGGCCACAGTTTACATCTCCATCTTCGGGAGCCAGGACCCTCCTCTGGTGAGAGCCAATTTTCAGAATTGCTGTACTTCTTTAAAAAAAAAAATTTTTATTGGGGAACAGACATGGTAATTGGTTACACATTGCCCTCATGCTACAATGGTATAGTTGACTCTTTTAAGGAGGTCACAGCTCACAGTGGCCCATGCGGGAATCGAACCGTTAACCTTGGTGTTATCAGCAGCACACTCTCACCAACTGAACTAACCGGTCACCCAAATTGCTGTACTTCTTACCAAACATTTCAAGTCTCTGCATTTAAGGCGCACACCATGTTTGCATTTCCTTCAGTAGTTCTAGAGTTCTACATTTTCACTCTGCAATGGTATAAAACTAGCGATGTGTTATTTTGGGACTCTATTTGTGGACACATCCAAAAGTAGTGGTGTTTTGTAGCACTTGTCCTTAAACTCCTATCAGGAATTTTTCACACAATGATATGCCTGACCCTTCTCTAGACCTATCCATCAGCATCTCTGAGGGGAGAGCACCTCTGTATGGTTAACAACCTTCTCGGCTATTCCTCTTGCAAAGCTGGGTTTGGGCATCACCCACTTGCAGCATGTGGGCTCTGAGATCAGCTTCACTCACAGTTCACTGGAGTTTTTCAAGTATATTGACTGGACTTATTGCCCAACTTAACCTACGGAAACTGGTAAGAGACATAGCCTCTCTCCAAGTGTGGAAGAGGCAGACATGGAAAGCTTTCTGCTGCCTGAGCTGAATCGGAAAATGAATCTTGAATCTTGAAGGAAGCTGCCTAACAGGCTATGAATTCCTAAACGTTTGGTTTCCCTGGGAGCTAGATGATCAGCATACATTTGTTTGAAGTGATTCTGATTGCTTAGCGAGCATAATAAACTAGGATTTTGCCTTTATCTCTTCTATAGACGATGCCATAGATAAGCCACCTGACTTACAAAGCAGCATCACAAAGTCAGGTCAACCTGAAAGGTGCCACTGGGCCAGGCCCCCTGCCAGCCAACACTGTGCCTTCCTTGCAGAAATGCAGCTCTTGGGAGGGTCAGTTGCTGAGCGCAGCACTTTATGAAAGAAAAAGGCCCCTTTCCTCAGGCAGACACAGTGTCTGGCTGAGGGCCCAGGGCGAGGGAAGCAGAGCAGGTGGATTTCAGTCCCCAACCTGCACAGCTGTGTGCCGTGGATGGCCCTGTGTGCCACTACTAAAGCAACAGAACAGGGCTCAATGCAGCCACTTCCGACTCTGAAGTGCAGGTCCTTAGCCCCGTGCTAAGTGTTCTGGAGGCTGGAGTGATGGCTGGCAGGTAGAGGGCCACTACTCTGGTTTCCCCTCAGTGCAAGCTCTGAGCTGCCCCAGGCAGGCAAATCATCCTTCTCGGGGAGGAATTCCAGACTGGATTTATGGGGGTCTGACCACCATGGCCATCCCTCTGTCCCTCTGACCACAGAGGAAGAAGGGATGTTAGTTCTAATAAGCTTCCTTTTATGCCACTGCTTTTTTATTAAAGGGGCAACTAGAAGCTTGTTTCAATTGGTTTGAAAGGCCAGACATTTTCAGCCATTCCTGTATACTTTCTCCGGGAATACAGGTATGTCACGTAAGGAGCATCGGAGAAGGCCCTGTTATCTACGTGCGGCCCTTTCAAATTGATTTCGGCACTATCGATGTCCTAAAGGACTTCTCCAGGATTCTCAGGCTATCTAACCAGTCCTTCATCCCTGGAGTATTTCGGGCACACATGGTGAGTAGACTGGGACTGTCATGTGATGAAAATACAGCTTTGCCCAAGTCTTCTAGGCAGTGGCCCTGTTTTTGCAACATGCCTTTGAAAATGATCACCAGAAGCAGATTTACATGGTTCATTTGCATTAAGCTATGCCATTCTCATCCCCAATTCCTCTTCATTAGAATCTTTTTGTTGACTAAGAAACACAATATGCATGTAGTTCGGTTAACAAGCATATATATATATTTACTATAATCTCAGTTAAGGAAGGTGCTAAAGATGCTCATTTCAGAAGATGCTCACTGAACTGTGTCTAAACCCAGCCCCACACCTCCAGAAAATACCTTTTAAATGTCTCTGTAACTGAAAATGCTTCCTTTTAAAAATTTGAACCCTTTTGGCTACAAATTTGTTGATAATGCTCATTCTATTATTTATTCTCTCTTCCTTCTAGCAATATTTTAATGTAGTTTATAAGGATATATGAAATATAAGATAGTATTTGCCAGAAGTAGAAATTAAATAGTGAAGCAAAGATAGGTACAAAGATAGATATAAAATGGTTGTAGAAATGAGCCTTTTGTCTTATTTCTGGATAGTTTATAATATTTAGATTTGTTAGTCTTCTGTAAGATAATTTTTTAACAGAGATATTTTTTGCAGAATTTAGGAATTTCCAATCCAGTAATTAAAGTATTCTTGATTTTTAAAAAACTTTCTAAATTTAAGTATAAAAATTTAAATAGTATATCCCTTCTCCTATCCCCAAATTATTGATACTTGAATGAATGCTAACATTTGGTTTCAACATTTGCCAGATATTTCTGAAAAAAAGAATCAAATATTAATTTTATAAAAGTCACTATCAGAATGAATAGGATCATAGTTTTCTGCTGACTTGTGACAGCTCCTCAGAGTCATTGGTCCCAATTAGCAGCCATTTACCATATCATTATTCATTTTTATTATCATTCATCATTACTCCTTGGAAAGGCAGCCATTTCCTGTACGGTCACTGCTCTTTTTAACTTTTTGGACACAACCCCACTCTTGTTCCAGTGTCTTGTGGACCTTGTGTAAAGAATAATGTGTAATAGTGTTTAAAGGCAAATCCAACAGAAAAGATGCCTTTGCTAGTCTTTATCCAATTACTTGATGTTTGGTGGAAAGCATGGGCATTGATGGGTTTGGTGGAATTGCTTTGAAAGTGTTGCTTCCTGTCTAGTTTTGTACGTACAGACTTCACAGTGGGGGAGGAAGAGGGTCAGCCAACCTGTCCAGGGTGGTGAGAGGTGGGCACTGGAGGGTCTGAGTGGATTATGGGGGAAGGATATGGGCAGAAACCGCAGCAGTGCTTACATACAAATACAGCAGCTATTCCCTTTCTCATTGCCTCCCCCTTCATTCTCAGACATCTCCAGGTTTCACTTTTTATGGTGACTTTTGGTACATTTCAAGAAACAAAAAGTACATGAAGGACCTATCATTTTTTTTTACTAATATAGTGTATTTATTGAATAACCCAACTAACTGTTAAAATGGAACTTTTCTTTTCCACAAAGGTTTCATGATTCTATCTTTTGATTCTTTAATATCCTCTTAAGTTAGCCAGCTTCAGTTCCAAGGAGCCATCCGTGTGATTTAAGTGATCTGCTGTAAATGTGTTTTCTCTCAGTTCTCTCCCGGAAAACTGGTGTTTATTGGGTTGATTGCCCTTACAGCTTCAGAGTTGTTCCAACTGTAATTCTCATAGGTGAAAATTAAACTCTTTTCATATTTTGACTGGGATTTTTGATAGATTTCCTAGTAAATACTATATGTGTTAATATTACAGAAATTGAGTTATGCTAACTTAGACATTAACTACAGTGGGAAGGAATAGAAATATCATTTATTAATTTCAACTTCATGTGCAGCACTGAACCCGCAAATTCATTCTTACGGAAATTACTTAGCATTAGGAAAGAGTTTTAATTAATAGCTGTTGGTTCCCTAAGCCTACAGCTCAGTACCCAGGTGAGTGGTGGTCACATGTTTGTTGCATTTCATTTCTAGCTCACTGAGAAATAAGTAAGGTCAAGGGCACATTGTTCATGTCTTCGGTTATTGCTATGAATTCAAGTCTGGAAGTTCTTCTCTTTTCCTGTGGATGCTCTGAAAGGAGGGGTTGTTCCCTCTCCTCTTTTGGCTGCCAGCCCTCCGCAGATGTGGCACCCACTGTCAGCCGTCTGTCACACTCGCCTTGTGCATGGCGTACACATCAGGGCCAGCACTGCGATTAGATTCTCCCTCAGCAAGAAACATCTGTTTGTTAGCAGCTGAAGGGGTGAGGAGATGGGAGGCTGGAAGCCCACCTTAACCGTGATGTTGGGAAGATAAATGACACTTAGAGCAATTTTGAATTTCTCAGAAATAGATGCTATACAAAAAAAAAAAGGATTTTTTAAAAAAACTGAAACCTCCATATAATATGGAGTGAAGAAACACTGACAATTATCATTTTTTTCTTTCCATTAAAGCTTAACTTATCCTGAAAGTAAAAAAAAAAAAAAAAGGTTGGTAAAAGATGAGTGTTCTGTGACCTGGAGCAGTAAGTTCTTTGTTTTGGAATGCCTGAAATACCAGCCTCCCTAAAGGTTTCCAGGGGCTGACTTATTTGGATTAAGCTGAAGGACTCAAAACAATAGAGTTGAGTCACCTCCAGTTTGGAGGGGTAAAATATATCAGAATGTGAAAGCAGAGCACAAAAGGCCCTTTTGGCAAGACTCTATGGTTTCCTTCAGCAAGATAGATGCCCCCTTTCTGGGCGAGAATATGGTAGCTTCCCCCCAGGCTCTGGGACCTCAGCACAGGGCTGGCAGATAGAGGCCTTGTTTGCATGGGTGCCCCTTGCTAGGCCAAGCAAGTGCAGGGCTCAGCACTTGTCTGGAAGCATGTGGAACTCTTTCCCTTTCACTCTTGGCTCTCATTCAGCCTCGGGTACTGTTAACTTGAGAGCTTGTGTACAAATGTCAGTGACACCTTGAGATGCAGCTGGCACTGAAACATCTTCATAGCGGCCTTCTGCCTCTGTGATCTGAGGGACAGCCCGTTGTAGTTAGATCTCTAGAATGTTCAGGATCCAGGAATTCTGATGTCTCATTCAAGCATGGTTCTTTTTCAACATTTATCTTCTTGGTCACTTGTCATGGCCATACACAGTGGTATGTTGGCAAGAGAATCATTGGACTTTTCCATCTCCTTCAGACCCTAAGCAAGTGGGTTATTTCCTTGTTTAAATGGGGACCCCCTTCCTATATTTACTTGTTTCTATGCCTGTCCCCTTCAAATGACAAAGATCTCTGCTTTGAATTCCCAGCATCTAGCAGCAAGCTTGGCAATTATGATGATGATATACAGTGACATTAATTATGATTAATGTTTGTTTAGTTATATTTGCTACTTTATATGCAGTATTTTATTTACTCCAACTCCGTGAGAGGAATACTATCATAACGCCCATTTTAATGAGGTAGAAACAGAGATGCAGACAGACCAAGTAAATTGCCATAACTACGAAGTGGCAGAGCCTGGCTCCGACCCCTGGGGGTCCCATTTCAGACACATGCCCTTTTCCTAACATTGCCTCATCAGTGGTTATTAAAATGGACCTGGAAATGGTGCAAGGATTTTGGTTTCATGTTCAGAAAAGACCATTAAAGTTAGACACCTAGAAGAGCAGGTTTTGTTAAAAGGCATGAGAAGAAGTTAAGGAGCATTTCTCAAATATACAGAAGTACCAGATAGTCTTCATTTTATGCAGATATGTGTTGAAATGTACATATGCAAATAACCTCCATGATATCATTTTTCAACCATAATTCCTTCAACTGTATATCTGAAATAGACACAATCTAGTTTTCCACATTTTTGATCCTTTGTAATGTAGTATGACAAAACATCCTGTTCACATATGGAAATGTACGCAAAAATTCTTCACTATTATAACTCTTAAAAGGGTTTAAATACAAAGTTATGACCCATTTTAACAAAATAAATACGCAAACCCAGAAGGAGATTGGCGGGCATTTTATATCCAGTGAGACTTTCGGTGCTGGACCCTGTCCATTTCAGGAGATAGTGAAATTGTAGGTGTTCTGGAAAGCTCATATTTGACTTGTAGCAGCTGGTCTGTTGAAATCTGTAGCTATACCTCCCACACTGCACCATCCCTACACACCTGAAGCTCACACTGTAGATCTAGAGCTCAGTCCTGCCAAAGGGGCACTTACTGTACTGGGGAGTTGGTGCTAGAAAGATTTCTAATGACAAACAATAATTCTCCGAGGCTTTTTGATAGATGATGTTATTAAGATATTACACTCCATAATGTGTGTGAAGAGAAGGTAGAATGAGCTGTTTCTCAGCCTTCAGTGTGTAGATTAGCTCTGCCCTCAGAGTGAACCATTATTTCAAGGGAAGGAAGCAGGTAAGAAAAAAAAATGATAGAAGGAAAAAGAAAGAAATGGGCATAAATCAGAAACCAACTGGGGTTATTTTACCTCTTTATATTCTTTTTGTTTGTTTGTTTCTGAGGGCTTTGCAAAATGGTAGCTATGTTTACTAAAACATTTGCAATATAATCTTTGGTTTTTAGCTCATAGTTAAACTCATGTTGAATATGATTTATGCCGTGGCGCTTTCTGTGTCCTCCATATTTGCCCGCTCCATTTAGGTTTGCAGTGTCCACATTTAACAGATCAGATCACTGAGGTTCTCTTGGCTCAGATTGCTGCCCAAGGTTGCACAGTAAAAGGATGGCAGCTCCTCTGCTGCAACTCACATTTTCTGAATTTTAGTCAGTCTTTTCTTGTTTCATCACAGAAATATTTGTTTCTAGAAGTCAGTGTATATTTAACATATTTTTTAAAACAGAAAAATTCAAGAGATACACTTGCCACTCAAATCTAACACTTGTTAACCTTTCCCGCATTTACCTCAGATCCTTTATTTGGAAAAAATCAAATATTAAAGTT